CGAAATTTCGTTCGAAAAACAAAATTTGATGCAAACTCTTTGTTCAATATTTTTTTCCATTGTTTTTTTCGCAACGCACTACTGAGGTGAACTGGTTTCAACAGCTGCCGTAAACGAACTGTCCGACAGATAGCGCTCATTTTTGCATAGTAATTAAGGACGTGCTGCCAAACTACATAAACTTAAAATATCGAAAAATATACAGCGCGCGAATTTTAAATGAGAACCTCCGAAAACTTTTCGGTCACAATGTACATATGTACCTACATTAAAATAAGCAAAAGTTGAAGTGTCAGTTACCAGCAAATAAAATTAATACCTACATATATACTTGGTTCCAGAATTCAGCTACCAAGTTATTTATTTTAAGAATTTTGCAAGACTTTCCACATCAGTTTCTGACAGTTCTAATTTTTAAAAAAAAAGGGTTTCCCAAGTATTATAGCTCTACTCTTTGGCGGAACTAGACATTTCCACAATATATAAGAACTTTATAATTATTCCTTTCTCCTGTGGATTTTTACGCTCTAAATTTTCGTAATAACTGAAGGCAAGTCAAACACCCGTAGAGTACATAAACCCATATATATATTCAAGCAGATTGGTTTAGATTATTGTGGCATTCGGAGTAGTTGATCAACTAACTTTGACCCTAGAGCATAACATGTGTTGAATTTTAGCGTTATACAGACTTATAAGAGAGATAAAAACGTTGTGCTTGTAGCGATAGCTCAGCAGCACGGTTGCCAGTTATGGTACTTTAGTACCAAAATTGGTACTTTTTTTTCCGTTTGGTACTCTGGTACTCATGTTCAAAAAATGGTACATTTCGCGGCGACCCAACTGATGTGGATGTGTATTGTTTCTAATACGTTGTTACATAAGTACATTTTATATACATGTGTATTTCTTTAGATTATTGTGGCATTCGGAGTAGTTGATCAACTAACTTTGACCCTAGAGCGTAACATGTGTTGAATTTTAGCGTTATACAGACTTATAAGAGAGATAAAAACGTTGTGCTTGTAGCGATAGCTCAGCAGTACAAAAGAAGTATTCGACTGTTTCTTATTATTCTTATTCTTATTGACTGTTTCTTAAATTATTATCACTCATCTTATGCATTACTCTTGAGGGGATACTCCTAGTATGTGAGCATGTCTACAAAATAGCCAGTGACCACGACCTTAAAGATATTCTAGGTGTCTAAGCAATTCCACATTAATCTAAATTTTAAACAAGTGTTTCAGTTTTTTCAAGTGCTTTTGATTTCTTGAACGATAAATCGTAGTTGTTTTGAATGCCATTGAACTACCGAACCTATATTATGCGTAATACAAGAACGGCACTAATATCATTAAGAACTTGAGCTTGAACTTTCATTAATTTTAAACCATTGATTTCAATAATTTGGTGGCTATAAAAATTTATATTCATAGTGATAACTGTTACAGAATGACAACGCAAGTAAACAGCTAGATCTTTGAGTATCTGAAGTGTTGACTGATAATGAAATACAGTGGGAGACGGACCGACAATTCCGTCATAAGACACGTAAGAATTTATATTACAACTATTAGAAGGCGAAGTACCTTCAATTAGGTTTAAAGCAACAAATCTGTACCACAATAAAAGAGACCTAGCAAATGTTATATGCTGCAATATCTACAAACAATATGAGAATTATAATATATTTAACTTTTAAATCGCGCATCAAAAATTTTCACACGATAAATTTCAAATATTTAGAAATTTTTTCAGTATTCAAATATTTCGATAAAAATAAATATATCGTGGTAATTTAATATTTCAAATGGAAAACCTGGTATTTGTATGTGCCAATTATAGTTTAAAATATAAGAACTCCTGCGGTTGTAAGGAGTAAGGGGCGTAATTATGATTCTGTTCAAAGGGGCATATACAGTTTTTATGCAGTTTACTAAATAAGTTATAATAAGATTCAGCTCCAAAAACTAAAACTAACTCTTCCATCATATCTTTTTCCGATATGTTTCGATGTCGATAAGTTTCTCCAGTGTCATTATCCAAATTTATAGCTAAAGTTAATACTAAAATAAAAAACGAAGAAACATAAATAAATCACAAGCGTGGATCTATCATCCCCTAATTTGACCTGAACTCGCCATTGAACAACATTCTTTAAATTATATATGTAAACGCAATTTTAATACACTATTTAATACTGTAGGGTGCGGAACAATGTGTACTAATACCAACTTCTGCTAGTAATACGAAATCGTTTATGGCTCTGCTTCTTTTAAGTCTATTTTTAGAGTGAAATTTCTTTTAACAATGAGAACAACCGATACATTCTTGTGGAACGCTCCCAAAATATGGGCGACATAGGCGATATGGGGATGTTACTGTGATATGACAGAGCAGCTGTTGAATTCAAAGAAGAGTTGAGGAAGCAAAAACAAATGCGTGAAATCGTTGCTATTTTCGAAGTTAACGCGAAGATGATCGGATTGATACCCCCATGTGCTTCTACGTAGTAAACATTGGCACTCACATTCTCGTCATTGCATTCTCTCTTTGGCTTCTTCTTCTTCTTCTGCTGCTGGCTCTGATGCTGCAAACTTACGACGCAATTTTTTAAAACAAATTCAGAAATCATTGCACTTTAAAAGCGACAGTAGCGCCAAAATCAGAGAGATGACGGCAGTGGTGGTGGGAGGCATAAGTTGGATTGCATTTGATTTCCATGAATAAAATATAGACATTGTCGCTTTCTTATTACATTTACAATTAAGAAAAAAAAACAAATAAATTAAAAAGAAATCCTATTGAGTGCAACAGTTTCAAATTAAAAACACACAAAGATATTATTATTTCAAAACAAAAACAACCCCCTCCCTGCACTTTATTTACTAACAACGAAATTTCAACCACTTTAATCCGAGATGTGGGTCAAAATCACTTTGTCGTTAGTGGCTACTGCGACTTCGCTACTCCGTCGCGACTGCACTTCCATGCGAACCTTTTTCTTTATCACATTTTGTACTCTGAAGTCATAAAAACGCAATAAAACAACAAGACACTGAGAATACCAAAAGGAATTGTATTCTCATTTGACTACGGAACCCTACAGTTCCATAAAAATTAACAAAAAAAAATAAAATAAACCAACAAAATCTGAAATAAAATGCAGCATGCCAAATAACAGTTTACTTACAGTTATAAGTCCTCCTCCGTTATTATATTTATGCACTTAATAAGTATATATGTATTAACTATTTTATTATTAACTAATTTCCATAAAAAAAAATTGGGAAAGTTGTTTTGCTATTTGTTTTAATAAATATCACATAATTTTTAAAACACAAACTTTATTATGATTTTACTTATTTACACTCTCAATTATTTGGAAAATTGTTTTGTAAGCCGATCGCACTTCGCGGAACTTCCGAACATTACAAAGCACCACAAACTAATGAACAAAACAAAACACTAGAGATTGTTATTGTTTATCAGCAATGGTTCTTCTTCAAACTAAGATGTACAATTCACAATAGAAATTCAGTTATGAGTCATGTACAGTACGACATTTGATTTTGCTCTAGAGTAGAAAGTGTTTGCTTAATATGAACAATTTTTTTTTTAATTTAGAAAATATTTAAAACATAATTTACAGAAGTCTATTTAAACAGCCCAAGTAGCGGTTATTTTACCTAATTATGATATTTAGCTGTAGTCAGTCTTAAAAAGAATCATATATGCTGAATATTCAAGTTTATTCAAACAGCGCAAGTAGTTGTTATTTTGCCTAATTATAATATTTAGCTGTAAAGAGTCTTAAAAAGAAACATATGTGTTGAATATTCCTTCTCACTCTAACTACCGTAAAAATGCACGAACTAGTATTACAAACCACGGACTGTCACCAATAAGCACGGACTACAACCACTATTTGAGCAACATTTATTCTGCTAACAGTTTTGGCACAATCAAAAATGTAATAGAATAATTCCGTTGCAAATAAGCAACATTTAGTGAAAAATGACCCTAAATTATTCTATGAAAAAATTCTACGTTATTTTTTTCTAAAGCAAATGAAAATCGTTTCAAAGCCTTTTCAATCGTGTTTTTTTTTTCTTTACCAAGTGATTTACATGCGTCTAATCAATTACTCCAATTATTCGAGGAAATTTCACGAAATCTTGATAAGCACAACTTACTTAGTTTGCCATTATAGACGTGATTCATCTTTCGAAAAAGATAGCCACAACCACAAAACCTCACAATATTAACTCATAAAAAACTACAGTTAAAGACACGTTTTACTAGTATCCTGTAAGTGTGACTGCATTAAATCCAAAATATTGGCAGTAGTTCTTTTTTGAAATCGAAAACATGTGAAAAAAACGATAGCATTCTACTTGTTGAAGTGGTATGATGTTTCGTTCATATTGTATTATTGCCTCTCTATTATTTTTGGGTTGGACTTCACGTTACTCTCATCACTCTGCCATGAATTCCATTTATACCACATTCAGCATCTCAAAAAGCTGAACACGTATTTTATATAAATTCGAATAATAAATAAAATATATGGATTCAAAAAAATGACAGAACTGACTTTATGTTGTGCTATATCAAGATGAAGTGGGTTCTAGTTATTATCAAAATATTCACTTCAATTTCTAACTGGCAATTAAAAACAAAAACCAGGCATCAAATTACACAAAATCCGTTAAAATTGCAAAAAATCCATGAATAACCAAGAAAAATTGGCTGGTACCAATTAGCCTAGCGTCTTTACTTAACCATATAATCTGTGGTTAAAATTTAAGTTAACGAAAACAATCTATGTTGATCAGTTAATTCAACCAGCAGTTAAAAATCCCAAGACTGAATAGACCGGCTTAAGTCTTTAAATACACAAAATTGAAAATTTTAACACCACACATTGCATTTATGTGTCATCTTTTGAAATATGATTGCTTAACGAATGCAACCTTGTGAAATTTAGAATTTAAAACCATGTGTCAATAATATTTATGAGGCTAATTTGGTAACACTGGTCGTTCACTATTTTGACAACCAAATTTTGTCAAAGTTGCTAATCATCATCGCGAGTTGAAGTCTTATAATTAGAGTGAGGAATTACATATCAAAATCTTTTTTACATATTACAAAATAATTTTTTTTCAGTTTTTATTATTTTCCTACAAAAACAATGTTCGGTCGTCAAGGACTTGGTGGTAGTTCAAATGGCAGTGGAAATTTGGTTGAGTTTCGTGCCGGAAAAATGAATATGGTTGGTAAAATGGTACATCCGGACACAAGGAAAGGCCTTGTCTACATGTCGCAAGGAGATGATGGCCTAATGCATTTCTGTTGGAAAGATAGAACAACAGGCAAAGTAAGCTTATAGTCACTTACAATAAATATTAATACATTATATCCTATGTCGAACCATCAGGTTGAAGATGACTTAATTGTTTTCCCTGATGATTTCGAATATAAACGTGTTGATGCTTGTAAGACAGGCCGTGTTTATGTATTAAAATTTAAAACATCTTCACGTCGCTTATTTTTCTGGATACAAGAACCTAAAACCGATAAGGATGATGACAACTGCCGACGTGTTAATGAATTGCTCAATAACCCTCCCGTAGCTCAACGTACCACTGCTGATGGTGGCGATTTGCAATATATGTTAAACAACATGTCTCAACAGCAATTAATGCAATTGTTCGGTGGTGTTGGGCAGATGGGAGGCCTAAGTTCTTTACTTGGTTCGATGAAGTAAGTTAAGCTTATAAATAATTTTTTTTCGCTTTAATTGATATATTACTGCATTTAACAGCCGTTCAGAAGGTAATTCCCGTTCAAGCACTACCCCTTCATCCAATCGTAATTCCAGTTCAGTTAACTTGCTAACCCCTGAATCTGGCATCAATGTAAGAACTCCATCAGCACCAAAGGCAAAAGGTTCCAAAAGTACCACTAGCAGCACATCAGGAGGCAATTCAAATAATGCCGGTAAGAAAACCTCGAATTTATTCAGCAACACCGACTTTCAACCCTACTTATCCAACCTTTCACCCGAAGCTGGATCTGGCCGCTCACTGAATATCGATCTTTCAACAGCACTTGCCGGCTCCGAAGCTATTAATCAAATCATTTCCGATCCAGAACGGGCAAGCATACTCTCGGTACACTTGCCTGAATCAGATGAAACCGATGAAAGCAAAAAACAGCAAATCAAAGACACTATTGCCTCACCACAATTTCAACAGGCCTTATCACTTTTCTCCAACGCTTTGCAATCGGCACAACTCGGGCCTGTTGTGTCGCAATTTGAACTTACGCCTGATGCAGTTGCAGCTGCTTACTCCGGCAATTTAGAAGAATTTGTTAAAGCTCTAGAAAAAGCATTACCAGAAGGCGCTACCATGAGTGCTGCAAAGACTGAAGAACCTAAGGAGGAAAAAGATAGTAAAGCCGATGACAAAAAAGACAACCAGTAAAATGTACATCGCAGAGAAAAAACAAAACAAATTTTATATTCGTTTAAATTTTTCCTCTCTATTTGGCCTTAAACATTTATTTTAAATTAATTTCAACCTTACAAAGAGGTTTTAAAAATTAACCCCATGTAACTCGTTTCAGAAAATAAAGTAAAGCATTTACCAACGCAGTTACGTACGTATTATTTTCGTTTTGACGAAACAAAATTGTAAGAAAGAATAATATATATATATTTAAAGTAGAAGTGGTTCCGCCCTTTAGTGTTTTTGAATTTGTTTAAAGTACAATTCTGAATATATTTTTAATTCAATTTTAAGTTACATGAAAGCTTATGTCATGAATGTATTGTTTCTGGTTTGTTTAGTTCACAAAGATTCTTATTTAATAAAAATAATTATTGAATGATTGTTATTTTTATGTTGAGGGATTTATTGTAGCCCTTTTATGTCTTTCTCCCAGTCCTGTATTCCTAATAAATTGTAATATTGAACTATCTTTATATATGATGCCCATTTAGGTAGTTCTTCCTAAATGGAAGAAACTCAAATGGCCAAAAATTAATAACAACACACAAATATGATTTTATGTTGTTTTATTTAAATTATAAATTCATCTATTCACTTCTTCTGATAGAGCTGTTCTATCAAAAGATGAGTCATATTATATGCTTTCTTATATTCTTTGGTGTGTCTTATCCAGTTTTTCTTTATCTGTTTCCAGTTACTTATATGTTTTGAGAGCAATGTATTTGGATCAGTCTCCTCAGGTTCTTCACGATCCGATTTATTCAAGAACTCGTAATCGAATTGTGGTATATTAGGGAAATCATTTGCTGCCAACCTCGGCATGCGCTTTATCTCCTTATCTTTTGACTCGCAAATTGAATGTAACATTTCCTCTGCGTTGTCTTCTCGCTTTACTGGTGATGGAGAACGACGTTCACGGTAGTTTATTATGTTGTTACTGCGGGGCTGATTCATTATCCATGCACGACATATCGGAAATAATGACGAATTTTCATTGTATTTAGCCAGATCAAGACTGCGGTCAAAGAGTCTCATTATAAAACTCTCACTTTGTGGCTTTTGTGGCATAAACGCGTTTTGTCTGTTTCGTTTACACTTCTTGGATGGAGTAGTTATTTTAAAGTGCGCAAAATGAGTTGTGCGCGCTTTGTTCCGTAGCGATTGGGTAGCAGCTAGACGAGGGCGTCCACGGCTTGGTATAGAACTAGCAATGGATCTCTTAGATGTCCTTACAGCTTCAGCTTGCTTCAGTGCCTCTTTTCGCAAATTGCGGTATTTTAAAAGCTGAAGCTTCCGTTTTGCTGCTGACGACCTCATTATTAGGTTGTATATAATATGTAATAAAATATATTCAACAGATATATGTTAAATGTAACGACTTAATTTTTTTAATTCAATTTTGAAGATGAAATTTAAGATTCAAGCAGAACGCTAGAGTTTACACATTTCCAATTTATTTATTTCTGATACTATAATATATAGATGTGGCAGTAACAGACAATGTAATATCTCATGTAAATCTTTCGCAATAATTAAATATTGCAGTGAAAATAATGTGATCATTAGTATTACTAAATATATTACCATAATGCAGAAATTTTTTAATTGAAAATGGTGGCACTTTCCTTGACAAATTAAATAATTTCTACAACTCTTTGAATTCTGTTTGATACAGTTGAACTTGTGCAACTTGGTTGCAACGTCTGTTATGAAGTAGTTTGGATTTTTTTCACCATTTAGAAAATATGCATTTATTATATATTAATTTTTTAATAGTTATAGCATTTTCATATTAATTCTATTTAAAAATATGTAAATTCTTCTGATATTACTTATATTACATTATTCTATTAATTCTATAAAAACATCAAAATTATTCTTATAAATTTGTTTTTTTATTCATATGTGTATGACATACGAGTGTATAAGCCGTACAAATACATACGATTAGTCGGGAAAACTATTTTAAATGACAATGACAATGACATTTAAAATGACAACTTATTTAAATGCAGAAATTCATTCATTTCTCAATATAATTGTAATACCACCAACTGGGGTATATGACAGCAGTATATTTACATATAAAGCGATTTACTCATATATATATTTATATGCTTGATACAAATCAGGAGTTGTTCAGAGTAACTGACAAAATTTTCCGCACCCTTCCGCTTGTAATAATGGATCAGAATCGTTTTAATAATAAACAAATGATGGCACGATTACTATTTCTGTGGGGACGGAATATTATCACAGGTTTTAGTAAAACCAACAATTTAGAGGAACTGTTTCCACTTCTTTATGTATAGATAAAGTTGACTTTTCGTAGTTCTAGGCTGTTTAGTTGCAAATTTTTATATGGAATGTAACAACACATAGGAATGTCAATAACTAATTAATTTTTTGTGACATGTGAAAGTATGGAAACATAACACTTTATATACCTTTAATATGCCAAATAAAGCTCGACAAATATAAATTAAAGTTGCTTAATTAACATATAGGACCTATGAACAACCTATAAAGTATAACAGAGTTTATATTTTTTAACTGTTCTAATTAAAATATAACCAAATAAACTACAATACAGATCATCATTTTTACTCGAGTATAATTAACAAAATCAGACTTTTAAACAGTAACTCGCATATTCATTATTTTCTACATGATAATTCATTGGCTGGAACAGTCTGGTTTATAATTTCGCAGACTTCGTGATTAAGTCTGAAACATTGAAACTCTCAATGAGCAAAGTTGTCGAAAAGGTTATAAGTCAATCTACACGCAGCGTATATCGATAAGATGTACTTACAGCTTCTATTCCTAAAGCCTTACCAAAGAATATGTATGCTTTAACTTCAGAAATACGCTGTGTGACAATTGCCCGTTAATAGTTGTTTTAGCTCTTCCGTTAAAAAAACACTAGCACGAACGTAAGATATTTAAATAATGACATATATTAGTATCCGATATTTATTGTATCGAAAAATATTCATATATATCACGACTGCATCCTTCATAAGCTTTTGCTGATCCAGTACGGATACTACAGCTTTGCGAGATGTAATCGAATAATATCGAATCATGGTAAAATGCAGCATTTCGGTTTAAAATCGGTTGCCATCGCACAAATGGACTTTCCAATAGCATGTTTACATTCAGTAGAGGTATCTATCTGTGAATCGTCCACCTTTTTCATATCACTAACAAATCAAGGCATATAGGAATTGGTTCAACAACAAAAATTCATACAGACGCAGTATCCTCCGAAGTTGGACAGCAACTTAGTTCTAACAGATTTTCGTCTGATATCTCTAAGAAGGAACAGCGCCATAATGGCGCAGCAAAGAACCGTCATAAACATTTTTAGATCAAGAGATTGCCATGTACTATATATATGTCACGCTTGTTATGCATAAATACTTCAATCCCCAATGTGTGTCTCAACTGCAGTTTACTTTTCATTGTGACGTACATGTATTCTTATGTCCCAAGGCAAACACTAATTTGAGTCGACCTATTGAATTGGCCTCGACCCAAGTTAATTTCAGCTAAAACCCACCCACTCCTCATCCATTCCTTGTACCAAAAATCCCTATTATTCTTAGTTATTTCGTATTTTGTCATTTCTTTCATGTCCTCTTCTATATGTACATATCCTCACCTAATAAAACTTTTCCCTTTTTATGCTCTAAAGTTCCACTTTGCATATTCATTTCGATAACTGAGCAATATCCAATATTACGTTGAAAATAGTACTATCCCAGAGAAAAACAAATTATGTGAAGGTTTTTTTTTAAAAAAATTAAATATATTTATAAGTATTCCGATTCGTGGACTCTCCGCTAAGTTGCGTTGAACCCCACCCTCTTCACCAAGACACCACTTTCCCTTAACATAATCCATACTTTCTGGCTTGGATGAATTTAGTTTTGCCTAAATATTAAGGCTCTCTATTCTCTCTCTGCAGTAGGTTACTGGAATCTTCCATTTTCATTCCTAAGAGGTGGTTTTAGTAGGTTTAAGTCTCACACTGTGGCTTTCGATACTTTCCATCTACTGTAACAAAAAAAGCATTCCAATATAGTGCTGATCGAATGACTGAGTGTTAAATTGAAATCGTAGAATTGAAAGCATTCCAATCTAGTGCTGATCGAATGACTGAGTGTTAAATTGAAATCGACGGTATTTATGATAATCAAAAATATATTACAAAGCAATATTTTATTTGTATAGTTCACTATACTTTTTATTAGCTCCATTTTGAAGGTTTTTTATTGTATATTTTATTTTCGGAACACTAAAAAGTTGAAGCGATTTAGTAGCTAAAACATCGCAAAACTTAAAGCAAATACAAACAAACATATTTTTATATGCTATAAATAAATAATATAAAAATTATGATTTGTCAGTTTGACTCAATATCAGAAAAAGTAGTTAAATTCTAATTTCCGTAAAATATTTTATCATTAAGTATGCACTAAATGGCAGCATTTCTCATCCAATCCCTTTCAATACAAACTTTTGCATACAAATTTTAAGACTATGAATTTCAACATATAAAAGAAAATAATTCCTGAATTTAAATATAAATATAGGTACATAAACTCATGCCAAACATAAGCTATTAAGTTCACAGATAAAAAGATAAAAAGATAGAAGACACCTGACAGGCTATTCTCTTACTCAGTGGTTATTCCAATTGTACGAGCATGCTACCTTCAAATTTAAACAATATCTTTTGGAGCGCTTAAGAAGTGGACTGAATTTGAAACCTGATGAGTCAGTTCGCCTAATGTCTCCTTGTGGACACCACCAAAGAGTATTAATTCACCATGGCCGGCTACTAAACTAGATAGTATAAGATGGCGCTCTGGTGCCCCTGGAATAATACCGAAATCCTTGTATTCCACCCACTCCAGATGTGGATCAACTTCACTTAGCGCTGCTGATAGCTCGCAAACAAATAATGAAAGGACATTTCGCTTCATGCGCTTAGGAGGTGGTTGTTTTACAGATTTCTGAACAATCATAGCATTACGACAAGAGTTGCGGAGTGCATTCAACTTCTCTTCCATGCGCCTGATGCGTTCGCTGTGATCTTTAGAGATGCTCCGTAAACGACTCACATTAAAAGCTGCCATTCGAAAACGATCCTGTGCAAGATAAGGGTAAGATAAAGCAACACAACATTTTAGAAGAATGTAATTTCATGAAACTTATTGTATTAACTCACTTCATGCAATTCATCAAATCGTTTAGGAAGTAGTGGTTCATTTTCTCTGCAACGTAGTGCCAAATTTCTTTGCAACCGATTGGCTGCTTCAATGTCATTCGGATTATTGCTTCCGTTACTACCTGCTGCAGAATCGTTGTCGGCACGGCCATTTAAGCGTGGTGAAGTTGAGGGACGGTTTTGATTCCGTTCTTCAGCAGATGGCGCTGCTGGAACAGGCGCATGTAAATCACTAAGGCGTCCTGTGCGTGGTTGTAATTGATTATTGTTATTGTTTATATTGTTAAGGAAATTGTTAGCATTCTGCTGATGTTGATCAAGTATAGCTCTGCGATTAGCTAGATATTGTTCTTCAGGTCCATTCGCCTGCAAACCAACTAGCCTATAATTATCAACACGATTGTGATTTGGAAGTATACGTTGCTCCATACCAATGCCCCAACCAGGTGGTGGTTGTCTTTCAAATGGGTTATTGCGATTGTTTGGCTGGGCACCGTGACGAGGTCCAGCCATGCCACCACCAACTGGCACTCGTGTTTGTTTCATGATCTGGAAGTCTTGGGGGAGAGTTGGCGTCGGACCTAATGCAACTAATTTGGTTCCTATCTTACATGCTGGATTACACCACATATGTGTGGCAGCATATTTTTTATTTCTCATTGGAATTGCACGCCATGCCCATATATCTTTCGACATATCCAATACCCAAGCGTCTTGTTTAATATCATTTGGGCCACCGCACCCACCAACTATAAGTATGTGCGTGTCATCCAAATTAAATTGAAATTGCCCATATCGTGGCGGTGGTTTCTTATTGTCTGCCAAACGAGGTTGCCACCATCGCTGATCTAATAATTCTAAGCACCATGTTTCATTTGAATTACTATTAATACTTTCAGCTATACGATAACCACCAAACACAACCATGCGATCACCTATAACAGTAGCCGAATGCCCAGCTACAGGAGGAGGACTTGACGACGAAGTGCACACATGCCAACGGTTGCTTGCAAGTTCGTAAAAATGTAACTCATCAAACAGGCACCATGGCTGATATGGAGGATGCAAGGATGGGTACCTCCATCCACCGAACAGCACCAACTTTTCACGCCATTCTACTATAGTTGCACTGCCTTTTGGAGAGGGATATGAACCCAATGATAAAGGTCGCTCCCAACGCATTTCAGATAAATCAAAACGCCACAAATCATTGAATGTAGTGTCTGATGAGGAACCGCCACCGAATATATACATTGAGTTTCTATGTCTAACAGCAGAGTGAGCAAACCGTCCAGCGATGAATGGTAAGCCCTGCTTTAAAGAATCTGCCGTATTTGCTGCTACGTCTGTCGCAGTTTCCTGAGTGAAAACCTCCCATCGCAAACGGTAGTCTATTAAACCCTTATGCAAGTTGTTTCTGCTTCGACGTATTAAATCTATAAAAATATATGCATTCAACAATTTCCAAATACAAAATATACATCTCATTTGATCTTAAAAACATACTCTTCACTATACTGCTCCAACGCTTGCACACAAGACGGCAATTGTCCAAATCTTCATAAGGTGATAAATACGTTAGGATAAATTCTATCATTTCGTCAGGCAAGTCTTCCATTTCAATCAAGGACGAGTAGTTGTCCTTGAACTTATCCTTATCCATATTAGATATTTGATGGTAACAATCTACGTAGGAGACTGCGAGCCCACGCCTCTCGGTAGACTCCTTTTATTTATTTTTACTGCTTCAGACTTTATAACAATTAGAAATTTCTTCTTTTAATTTTATTGCATTTTCCTTTTAATTGAATGTTAATCTAACATTTTTAAAAATTATTTGAGAAAAAACTACTAATTTTCATTTTTCTTTCTGCTGCTATTTCGCATTTTTTTGCATTGACAGACGGGCAACTTATATGAGAAAATTACCACCTGCGTTGCCAACTAACAATATTTATGACTTTAAGACTGAGATGACATGAACCAAAAAGCAAGCGTTTATTTATTTATTATTCTATGCAACTCAATTTTATATTTCATAAAATTTTCTAACAAAATGTAAGTATGTATGTACAACGACGTAATTTATATTTTTGATATAAACAAAACAAGATATATGTGACATATTTTCTATGAAACTCGATTTGCAGACCATTGATTTTAATTCTATTCTATTCTACCTATAACATTAGCAAATAATAAATCATTTTATTTCAGATTTGTTTGTACCCATATGAAGAACAAATTTGTCTAAACATGTTTGCTTGTTTTATATTGTATAATAGAAAAACAAATTTATTTAAAAGAAACAATAACAATTTTTAAGCAAATTTTTTTCCTCCACGCTATATGCCGATACAGCTAACTTCCAGAGATATCGAAGTTTATATTTGTAAGATTTTTTACATTGATTACAGAAACACACATAACTTAGCGCCAGCTAGTGTATGCAGTTTGTATACAAACGACAAGTTAATTGGTGGGTCTACCTGCCATTAGTAGTTCTCATGTAAAAATTTCTAGCTTGACAGGCCGATATCTCGAAAATTAAACCAAGATTGCTATGTAGTGTAAATATTTTTCAAAATAGATGTCTTTACTAAAATCTAAAGTCCTACCTATAGGCATTCCCAATAAATCGAAATCATTCCGGTTTAACATAGAACTGCATACGTTCTTGATTTATTTACGTATATAATGATAGATAGATTGTTTATTTATTCATATACTACCAATTTTCCTCCTTATCAATTCCTCTACTTTATTAAACACTTTTCTTCTTTGTCGAATGGTTCACTGTCATTACTGCTTTCTCACAACTATATTAAAAGTAATTATTCAAAAGTAAGTCAAAAGTAATTATTAATTAAGTACAACGTTGTGAATAAAACCTATAAGTATTATTATTTCATTACGAAACATATTTTCGTTCTGGCCGGCAGTACGTCGTGCTTAATATACAAATCAAAGACGTGTTAAGCCTACAAGTCACTTATTCGCTCATATGCTTTTTACTTTTGATTCTAATTTTACACACACTTATTAATGCTCGCTTTAAGCTCCATACATTCACTCATTCGAAACCAATTCGCTTGCTATTCATAAATTTATACGACCCATTATTTGTTGGTGACAAGAGAATTGAGACGGATATATTTTATTTGCATATTCATTCCCAATGCAAATTGTTTTTGCATTTTTATCCTTTATATATAGCTTCATTATATATAAAATATCTCACATTTTGTAAATGTATCAAAGAGAATTTTGACCTATAAGAATATCTTTTCCTAATACTCACTTAAAAAAGATAATAACATTTATAATATGTCAGGAGCGTCCATTTCTCTTACAAACATATAGTTATCAAGACTTATAGTCATGCCATTAATTGACAATCAGTGTTTCATGTCTGAGTCACATCCAATTATTAATTTTTCCATTCTAATTGCCTCTCTATCTGTTCGGTATTCGTGAGTCATTTAATATTGCATTTAATAACTATTATTCGACCTATGGACTTCTGCACAATTCATTAGGTTATTTCAATGAATAGCAAATAAATTCTAATATTTTGTGGCTTTTGTATCAACAAATATTTTTCCTATTGAAACCAGCAGATATCAAAAAATACAGGGACTGCAGTGTATCCATTTAACAACTGGAGCCAAGTCTTTTCAGACGTGGAGGCGCCACTTAATCTCACCCCCACCCCAACTAAATTTGGCTGACAATTTGAAATCGAAGCCGACTAGTTTCGACTGTGCTTGTTTTCATCTTTTTATTAAAGAATTTATTATTTAGGAGTGAGGAGATTTCGGTTATTTTTAGAATTAAGTATGTTTTTAAATATAATTGAAGATGCTTTTCAGATGACAATTTAATTTGCAACATTCGCTCTTTGTGCGCAGCCCACGCAACTTCAACCACCAAAAATAAGAAAAATAAATAAGCAAATCTGATTAGCTAATATTTCTTTATTATTTTTAAGTTTGAATTTGAATTACTCAAAAGCTGAACTTACAATTTAAAAAGTTTAATAGAAAAAGATAAGTAATTTTATTTGTAGAAATTGCCTACTCTAATTTAAAACAAATGCTTTATATTATAGTCTCTATTACATATTTGTTCTCTATAACACTTTCTTTTTCTTCTTCTACTTCTTCTTCTTCTTCCAATCAACACCAGAGCACAATCAATAAAGTTGAGAGTGATAAGTGGTTTTGGTTCAGGTATTTTTATATGCAAATATATATATGTGTGTGTATGTATCTAAATCTTGTATGTATGCTGTAAGAATTTTGTATTGAAAGATTATGATTTATTGTTTTATAATTTTTATGTTTTTTAATGTTAATTTGTTTAATTTTGAATTAATTTGTGAGTGGGTTGCACTCAATTATAACTAATTTAGGTTGTTTAATTTAATAATTATTACTTAATTTCTTTGTTCAACCTTGAGCAATTCGACATCGAATGTTAGAGTAGCATTTGGGGGAATGACACCTGGATGACCGCGACTGCCGTAAGCATAATCCGGCGAGCAGATCAGTTTAGCACGCTGTCCAACGGAGAGTTGAGCAACACCTTCATCCCAACCGCGAATTACTTCGCCCATGCCAATGGTGAACTTGAATGGCTTATTGCGATCGCGAGATGAATCAAACTTAGTACCATCATCCAAAGTACCAGTGTAGTGAACAGACACTACTTGCCCATTTTTCGGGAATGTGCTACCTGTAAAAAGCACAATCGGATGTGCAAGTGTAGGTTAGCACATTATTGCACACAATATTCAACAATCTTTTGTTTGACACTCATTTCCATGAAACTTACCATCACCGGGTGAGATTGGAACTACTTGTACGCCCATTTTCTTGAATTGTTAAATTCCAAAATTAATTCAACTGAATAAAATGTCGGCTTTTCACGAAAAGAAAATAGCGAGCGTGCAACTGACTGCGGCGTTTTGACGAATGAGCGTGTATGGAAAATTTTCGAGTCTCGTTTATGATATGTCAAAATGGCGCTCTTTTCAGGTAACAGTGTTGCATTCCAAAAAAATTGCTTTCACTTTGTGATACCTCCTACAGACGACAAATAGCAGTATTCGCAGAGGCTACACATAAAATTTGTTCAGCAAGTTTAGTATATTAAGCGATAAATATCTATTATTTGCAAACAGATGACTAAAGCCATATCATATATTTCTTATTAAATTGACTTCCTTAATTTAATATAAACGTTTTATATATTTGAATTAATAATGAAATTAATATATATTTTTTTTATTAAAATATATTTAAATTAAAAACTAATACTACTATTTTTATTCATGTTATAAAATAAGTTTTAAAATAATTTTTAGAAGTTGTTTAGAAAAGAGGAATTTATGTTTCATCTTCTATTTCTGTGCCATTTTTGCCTAGTAGAAGATATAATACTCTTCTCTCACCTACTTAATAAGGCTGTTACTGTTTTACATAAATATGGGATTTGTGTTTGTTCTTTTTAACGTTCTCTGTGAGCCGATTTTTTCGATCCTTATATCTATTTTGATGGTCTTCTGGGTCTAGTTTGAAAGCAACGTTTCGATCCCTGATATTATAACAATTATTATTTGTAATCAAAAAGCTTTGGTATGCAAGGCCGCCGCATCAACCTATCCGAACTTTGTGTCATTTTAATATGTAATGAAGGAGCGCGAAGTATCTCACCAAATAGTGGCCAAGAAAATTTTCATTACAACTTTTTGACAAGTTCTAAACATTTGTAAAAATGTGTTAAAATAGTGACTGTTCGTCAAAAATCTGGTAGAAAAACGAACTGAAATAATAATTTTATTACAGATGGACAATTCTTAACCAACAAATACTCTGTTAGAGTCCTACTTCACACCCGCCAGCAAAGTATTTCATGCCCCTCAGCAACAGCGGATCTGATTCATACCGCTTTTTTAAAGGGAGCTCAATTGTAACGAAGCAACTCGTATTTATATTTCGTTGCTTGCTTATTGCAACGATTGTATCGATATCACAATTTTAGTTTGGCTTGCTTTCTGTAATTTACTTGATAAAAGTACTCGCCGGACTGTCAACAGTAATGCCGCTGACGTCTGTTGGTATTGTTCTCAGCGTAAATAGCACAAGAGAATGTATATGCGTATATATGTAGTATGTATATTTAACAAGCTTTTATGTATTAAGTAAGTTACTTTGTAAGTAAGTAAGTAACGTACCGTACGGGTGGTAAAAATTATCATCCCTACAAACTGATAGATTGTTCGCCGTCATTTGAAGTAGGTAATTAGAACAGCTTCCACAAAACTCCCTAGCATGCGAGTCAAGTTTTATTCATATTGATGGAAAATTAATACAAACGTCTTACAACATTTTAACTAGTCCGAATTATTTTGCTCACGTATTTGAATACGTAAGTAAAAAATTGTAATCAAAATAGTGTGAAACTTTCCAAAATCTTGTTCGTGTTCACTCCTGGAGAAGACACAAGACAAACAAATTAACACACACCATATTTTTGTCGATTTCAAAGCCGCCTTTGGCACTACAGCACTCTTTATGTTTCCATTTGTAAGTCTGGTATCCTAATGAAACTTATATGGCTATGTATAATGAGTTTGTTTATCACCACCGCCAAATCCGTATGAATTATGAAGAATTTCTCCGAACCGTTCGATACTAACATTAACATTAACATAAACATTATAGGATTCAGATAGGGTGACCCATTGTTGTGTGATTTATTTCATCAAATAATTCAAGCAGAAATGCTGTTTGCTGCCGCTGATAATGATGTTGCTAGACTGTCCACCTGCCCCGTCAGTACGGCTTTTTCAAGCTTAGAAAACCATGTGAAGATAAATGAGGATCAAACAAAGTACTTTATTTAAATAAGCATATCATACGAATGGCTTGGGTTCCACGTCACTCTAGACAACTATAAGTAAAAGTACTGAGATAGACTTTATTTATTTGGGAACTATCGTGAACAACAAAATCACGTCAACCTGGAAATTCAACGAAAACTCGCTCTTGTCAATCGATGTTCTTTTGGGGTGAGTAATAGAAAAAGAAAAACTTTCTCTTGAAAAACAAAAATCACGTTATACAAGTCTCTCATAATCCCTGGCCTGCTGTATGGTGCAGCCGCTTGGTAAATAACCAAGAGTAACGAAAATGCAATAAGAGAATATTAGGAGAAGATCTTCCGTAATTCTTTTGAAGCTCAGTAATTTCATTTACGTTGCTTAAGAGTATCGAATTAGATGGAACGATAAGATGTATGAGCTATACGCATATATTGTCAAATCGTAGTTAAGTGAATGAAGATACTCTCCGGCAAAAAAGTTGTCTAATTCGGTGCCTGCTGGTGCGAAAAGCAGCGGAAGCCCTATATAATGACCAATCATGTGAAAGAGCTCAGTGTAATCAGCTGGAGACAAAAAGCAATTGATCAGGCTACTGGACGCGGACAAGTAAGTATTTGATTATATAATTTAAATATAAAAAACGTCTTGAAATTTTAAAACATTTTATTCGATTAAAATTTATTGTGTTTTCAATTTAAATTAAGCTCGCTTAAATATATTAAAATATTTATATATTCAGACTTTTAATTCTACTAACAAAATAAATATAATTTATATATATATATATAAATATGAAGATTATTTCTATTAATTAGTTTCATAAATATGTACTACAATAATTTCTTTTGGTTTAAAAAATAAACAATGCATTGAATTGTTAATATTAAATACAAATATACAAATTTAGAAACTTAATTTTTAAATTATGGACACAATATTTACGTTTTAACACACTGGGACTCTGCCTCTTTCTTCCCACTTGCAATCGTAGTGAGGACAATCGATCCGATGCTTTCGGATGCTAATTTAATAATTGTTTGATTTGGTTTTGAGATTACAAATTTTAAAAATAAATGAAGTGCTTAACTACAATAGGATTCAATAAAAAAAGGTACAATTCAAGAGACAATAAAAACCATAACTCCATAAATTTTGTAAAACTTGATCATTAAAAAAATATTAATAAAATCAGGTCAGATCAATTTAGAGTGGCAGCCTTGTTCACCAAAGCTCACTTAAGCACAAATAATGGTCCGTTATAATACCACGTATTCCTTTATATCAGTTGGCGGTAAATTTATTCACTTATCATTGCCTTAGAACGCAAGTTGATTATTTATTTCTATTTCTTAAGCAGAAGTGTCCTACCGATAAGCCAACGGCACGGCATGTTAGTTCTAATAATCAAGCCAAACTGGCTTTCTAAGAATTTTTAAATTTATAGGTAAGGTTGAATTAATTAACAATGAAAATCAAATTCCTATTATGCTCCCACCTATTGAATACGTTCACGCACCATTGGCCTTATTGCTATTACGAGTGCTTGTATTACACCTCCGATCTAACACAAATCGGGTAACAGCAACAAGCTGATCTTTTCAATGAATCTTATATGAATCATTCCCCCTCTTAAATGACATCAGATCAATGACACATCTGTTTTACATCACAGTCAAAATTAAAAAGAGTTTAAGCACAATTACCATTATCGATACAAATACTGACGTAACATTATCTATTATATATGATTGTTGGATAGGGTGATAATTCGAGTTTCTACATTTTGGATAGTTTAGCACCATTAGTCTACAATTCAAATTTACTAAGTTTAAGTATAATCATCATTACTTCCTTGTATGCAGAACAGTGATCAAGCTTCAAGTATCTTTTTTGACGTACAAATCAACTTGACTCAAGTCCAACTTTTAATTATTAAATATTATTATAATTAAATATTGCTTCAAATGCAATATATATGTTCATTAACGAATTCTTTAACTGAATACCGCGTACAATCCGTTCAATGCGTTTATCAATTTATAAGAGCAAAGTTGCGCAGGCGATCAATAATCGTTGACCACCCCAATTATTGTTGTTTTCAATGTAAGTTAAGACTTAGAAGCATTAAAAACAACAACAAACCTGATGATTAACGATCATTTCATCGCCTCCTTAACATCTCGATTTTCAATTTTTTAACTTACATAGACAGCAACAACAAATGTGTTGATCGCAGGGACCGTAACAGTTATAAAAAAAAAATAAAAATCACCTTATAACTCTTATCATTTGAATTTTAAAATAAAACTCATAAAATAATAATTAAATTTGCTTTATATTATATTTATCAAAAATCATTATTTTCTGTCTTTTATTTTTTTCGCGCATAAATAATTCTTAAATTCTGCTTTTAATTTAAAAACCCTTTTTATTTAACTGTTATTATTGCGTTATAAATATAAAAATCGTGAATAACTTGCACTGATCTACCGAATATTTTTAAAACGAATATATAGAATGCATTTTTCATACAAGGTAGTTGTTTTTGTAATTCCATATAAAATGTATTAAAGGGTTGGAGCACGTAAAGAGTTACTTTTGGTTTTTGTTTTTGTATTTAGCATTCATATCTTGTATTTGTATTTGTGTTCTTCTACTAAACACAAGTTGTTAGAATGATAACTATATACTTAATTGAGAGTTTAGACAACTTGTTGTTGCTGCTTTTTTTTCATAAAAATTTTTGAAATAACTGTTATTTTCGGTCCCTGGCTGATCGCATGCATAACATGACCCGAATGAAAAGAAAAGGACGTTTGATAGTTGCAATATCTAACATCCAATGGTGTCATTCGAGCACGTTGAGATATTGTGCGCATTGTTTCGATATGACTTTAAAGAAGCAAGTTGGTGATTTGCACGTTTTAGATACATATATAAGTAAATAATTATACGTGTTTTCAAGACGTACAATATTACTTCAAAAGCAAGTAGCTTATTCTACATCTCTGCTACAGTTCGAATATCTGAATTACATTGGAATATTGCTATTGTTGGTGGTCACGTGTCAATGAATATAAATCAATGAAATTAGTTATATACACACAATTATCAACATTTCGTCTTGAAACTTGTTTCACACATGAAAAAATAAAAGGTGAAAGATAGATACTATTTCCAACCCCAACAGTTTGGATTTTTTTGATTTTTAAACAAAACGTCTCCGATTTTTCTTCGATAAGGTTTGTGTAGTTCAATCGGTCGTTTCGAAACTGTTTCAGGCAATTTCATTATGCATATTTTTTCAGCGTAGGTGCCACGCTCATACACTGTAGCTTTCGGTACTGGATTCACAATCGTCATATCGGGGTCATAATGTATGAGATGACGTATGCCGTGAGGATTATGCTGCTCCATCTCGCAATGTTGCAGAAGCTCGCGCTTTGTGAGGAAATCGAAGTTGCAATAATTACAATGGTAATTTACTGATTTGGTGTGAAGTATTTGATGACGATTTAATTCGTGTTGAAATTCAAAAATGTCACCGCATTGGAAACATATAAAGCGCCCACTATTTTGTCTGTCCAAATGATAGTCAAGAAAAACTCTAAATGGGAAGAGAACAAAACGGAGTTAATAAAGTTATATTATAAAAAAAAAAAAAATTGAATAACTGTAAAATATTAAGTAATGCATTAAACCAAAATATATTCATTTTATATTAAATATATTTAAAATATAATATTTATATTAACCCCCCTATTCTGTGAACTTGACAAATTCACATATTGACCAGGTTTGCCCTGAATACCAAAAAGCTTTCTGCTTGATAAAGATCTTGATTAATTGTCAATACTTGTTAAATACTTGTCAATACTGTATTAAAAATGCAGTAAATATAATTTATGCCCTTTATACTTTACAAGCGATCGATATGTAAGTGATCGGTTTACAGATAAAAAAAAGTAATTGAAATTTGACGATTTAGTTTTTTAAACTGATTTTTCTGAATTTTCTTAGTACACGCATTTCTACGATTAGGCACACTGATACTTACTTTCTGGTGAAAACACATCCACATTTTTTACAATGAAACCACGCGTGACGAAAGTGATCAACATAATCATGCATCATTAAACTAGGCAAAGTATAGGTGCGAAAACTGCAATCAGGAACAAAACAAATAAAAATGTTGGAGTCTATGCAATCTTTCAAACGATCCAATAGATAAAGGTCTGTAAAAAACAAGAATGTTAATTATAATGATATTTTTAGTAAACTTTCCATACCGTATTCCTTGTAACTAGAAATCTGTTGTTCATAATCTAACATATCGGAGTACTCTAGCATGTTGCTATGATCTTCCACCCAGTCTCCAGTAAAACGCATTCTATTTGAGTACATGGTATCTGCAACAGACACCTCATCATCGTCTGTGTCATCCGTATTAAAGTCGCCTTTATTAAAATCTTCGTTTTCACTATCCAAATCAGTGATGCGGGTGGGTATTTGAGTTAGCGCACGGGAACGCGCACGCGTCATTCGTCCAATTGTTGTGTACGTGCTCAACTCATCATCATCGTCTGTTACATAATAAGAATTCTTTAGAACCTGTAAAAGAGACTCTCGTAAGCAATGTAAGGAAAAGCAATGTACTAGACTGGCTTACCTCATTTTTGGCCTCACATATTGTACGATGAAAATCGTATTCATGCGCAGTGGTATATTCGGAATTGCATATGTCACACTCAAATATTTGTAAATGGCAACTACGTTTGTGTTTGCGGAGTATGACGATGCTATGGCAAGAAAACGAACAATCGGTACAATGAAACAATGGTTCGTATTTCACATTATCTGGCATATCTGCGTCCATATCACTGCAACGTATATATATCGCCGATTTGGATTTCTTACGCATTGATAAATTTCGATATCGTGTATGGCAGTGACGCATATGCCTCCCGTAATAGTACTTGCGCGAGTAGGCCCGTCCACAATGTTGGCAGATTAATGTTTTCGGTGTATCGGATTTTTGTTCATAGTTGTTTACCTTACCTCCAGACTCTGTAATTAATGCGGATTCGGAGTGAACACAATATACTTCCAGCATAGACTGTTGTTGAGTATCTACAGAGTGAATTGAATGCAGTGAACCGCGAACACTACTACATAGTTGTGAAGTCGCACTTGATGATTTATTGTTCATTATCCTGCTTTCTTCACCTGTACTGGTACTTGATGTAATGGTTATTATCGAAGTTATTTCAGGTGGGTTCGATAAAATTAAACACTTCTTTTGATTTGAATCAGAGCCGCATAAGTTATTGTTCTTAGGCACTGCTTTAACTACTTCAAGGCAATTATTTCGACTAGTTTCACTGGTACAAGTAGACATCATTGCCTCTTTTAAGACACCTTCTTGTGTTTGTCCGTTTGGCTTATTAACTACATGCATTGGATCTTGAGTTTTTTTGGGCTTGCGTTTGTAATTGCACATTTGTCCATTTGGTGCGCCCTGTAAATGGTTTTTACCAGTTCGAATGCTGTCTTTTTGCGCATCAACTTTTACTACGCATTGTACGCATATACTGTTTAAGGTACATTCCTGTGTTATATATGAAAACATTAAATTTAAAATGAAATCTGATATCTGTTAACTTACTGAAGAAATGTTTGGAGCATTGAACTCTTCCTTCGTAATGGTTTTGTCACTAATGTTAACCATTTCATCTTCGCTTTTCTGACCACAAATTGAGCACAGGTGTTGTTCTACTTGATTATGGTGGCCATTCTGAAGTATAGGTGGTTCCATTATCTTCGGATTGGTTAACTGGACACTTAATTTTAATTCAGCCTTTTCTTGGAGCGTTTTTTTCGGCGCCAAACCACGTTTACGTTTCTTGCTACCAGTAGCTTCATCCGTTTGGAAAATATTTGCCACGCCTCCATTCATGCTGCGCGACTGTCTTTCATTCACCACTTTTTGATTTCCATAAAAGCACTTATTTTGTCAACAAAAAATTCGATATTAGAAACTCTAATTGACACCAGCAGAAATAAATATAAATATATATATGTACATTAATGTCAAACACATTCCCCTTGCACACAAACACAAACAATTGCAAATAGCACCGTTGAACGATTGAACATAGTTGAACGAGTTCTGAGGTTGAAAAACAATATAAGAAGAAGCATTTCCATTACTAAACTGTCAAATTATTTTCAACCACCGCCAGGGTTGTCGCTAACAAGTAATTATATTTCCATTTCAATCAGTGCGATGGTAACATTTTTTTTGTTAGTGATATAGAATTGTATCAACCACTACTAACAACAATCGATTCCATTTAAAAATGATTATTCTGTTTCAGAAAGTTGTTTTCTTTATAAATTATTTATTAGTGTATTTTCGTGTGTCATTTGTTTAGTTTTATTAGCGTTTCAAGTTAATAGTTTCATAATTCTAAAAATAATAAATCAAACTTATTTTTATATTGTTTTAAATCTAACTACAGTTTGTTTGTACAAAAAAGAGATTTTCGTATATAAATAAATATTTTTTTGTAATTTACATTTATACTTTTAAGTCTCACTTAGTTTTAGTTTTATTCATATTCTAGAAATAAAAATTAATATAGGCGTTTTTGGTGGCTTGCAAGTGAGGTAAAAAATGCATGCTGACCTATATTCGCTAAGCGAGACATTGGCATCACTGTTGCAATCTGTCAAGTGTTATGTTTTGACAAATAGCAAAAAAAGCATAATGCAAGTAAATTAAATTTTGAATAAAAATAAATAGTTAATATTAAATTGATTATTGGAATGCATAAAGAATTAAAAGGAATGTTAAGAATGTTGGAAATTTCAAGATAAAAGATTGAAATTTTTTCTTTTTTCCCAATTTTCAAATTTATGATATATTTGAATTTTATTTAAATTTTTGTTTATATTTGATGTTTGACAAATGATTACAATATTCGTTGAAATTTCCAATGACGGTTCACGATAGTTCGCTTATTGCGTTGGTAATACTTTTGTCCTTACTGCCCGAAGTTATTGTTGTTGTTTTTGTTGTGGTTTGAGTTAGTGCTATTGCGCACTTTTACTCTTTTGTGGCTTGGGGGCTTATCCCTGCTCCACACTAAGCTTTAACTATACTAGAATTATTATAATTTATTTATCTTTTAACTGATGACGGACTGTAGATCAGCATATCTTCCTGTGCGTCCTAAGGTGGACTTAAGGTTTGTTAGGGAGAGGTTGGGCAACGTATCGACTTTTGTGAACAATTTTAAGGCTCTGTCCTATATATATTTTTTCACTGATACCAAGGAATCTTAATTAGTCTTCTTGAAGCCAGATTTTGTACTATCTGTAATTGCTTTATGGCAGTATTTGAGGCTTTGATGTATGTTACACATTCCGAAGTGCTTGGCCAGTAAACAACTACTGGCCAAGATAGAGAAAATAGTTTTGTTTTGCGTACATTTCAGCCAGTGTAGGCCAGCAACTTGCTGTTTTCTGTCACACTTGCGAGCCATCGAAAACACTTTTTCAAATGAATATTGAAATTATTGGTCTGTTCCACGAGGTACTCATAGTAACTTTGAGTAACACTGTGTATACATAAGTGCGTTCCACCAGCAAATTTTCGAGCAAATGAAAGTATCTAAGAGAGCGTAACATCCCTGTCGAAAATTGAAATTCTACACAGACGTTACTCGTACATTTTAGGTCTGTTCCACGAGCTACACATAGTAAACCATGAGTAAAACAGAAGTAAAGTACAAACTGAGAGCGTAACACAAATAAAGTGCCAGATTACGCCTTTTACACAAATTTTCATGGAACAGCTTTGTGTAAAGTCTGGTGAAAACGGCTGTTTTTTGAAAAACAAAACAGTAGAAATAGAAATTGAAAAATAACAGACAAACACATTAATAATAAAATAATTAATATATTTTATTAATTTATTTTTAAACTTATTTTAATATATTACATATTATTATTATTAGGACACATTATGTTAAAAACATATTTACTTTTAATATAATAGTCTTTATGTTTAGTTAGAATTAAAAATTTATTTAAATAATGTAATCTTAAAGCTAAGATAGAACTAAGTATATATTTATAAAATGTGATGTTAATATGTTAATTAGAATTAAGTTCTTTATTGCAATATTAATAAAATTAATTAATGAAAAATAAGCAATATACAAATAAACACTTTAATCCAAGTTATTTTCTGTTTGTAATTCATTCCAAATCGAATCTCTAACGATACTTGATCTAAAAGGGATGTGGTTGTTGACATCATTATCTTCCACAAATTGTTCTGAAAATGTGAATTCTAAGTCGTTTTCATTTGCAAGATTGTGCAAAACGCAACATGCTCTTATAAAGTGACACGGTTTTTCAACTCCTTTAAATTTACAGTAGTACAGCTGTCTAATACGTTGTTTTAAAATACCAAATGCATTTTCTATTAGTATTTGACCTGACCCCAATTTTCTATTGAAATTCTTTTGTGCACGAGTAAGACGCCCGTTGTCTTTATATGGCGTAATGATGTGTTGTGTACAGGGGTATGCGGAATCAGCCAGTAGATAGTATTCTGTAAACGTAAGAGGTTTTAATTAATCTCATTTCTTTTACCAAAGAACTTACCTCCACACTTCGATGGTAGTCGCATATAAATAGGAGAGTTTTGTAAAACCCAACTGTCATGACAGGAGCCTGGATGTCCGACAAATATGCTAATAAATTTTCTGTTTTCATCACAGATGGCTTGCAAGCATAATGAAATATTTCCTTTTCTGTCAATGTAGTCGTCATTACGATCTCCAGGAGGATCAATAGTTATACGAGTGCCATCTAGGCAACCTGCAAAGTAACATGTATTAATATATATGCAGCGTTAATATGCACATAAATCCTTACCTATAACTTATGGAAAATTGCATAAGCTTCGGAAAAATGTACTTGCTTCTTCCTTTTTTGATGTGCTAGGCCATGCAATTATATCCGGACACATGTTGCTAAAGAAAGTTATCATCCTTCTTATAACTCGGTTTACTGACGATAAAGAGAGATTAAAGCGATCTGATAAATCTCTAAAACAACATGCTTCGTGACCAGCAAACCATAAAAAAACAGCAACGTGAGCTTCTGAAGAAATGTTCAGCTCACTTACTCGCAGTGCAATAAAGTCGGTACTATTTTGAAATTTTATAGCCAAAGAATTAAAAAGGCTCCGCGAAATGCGGAAATGAGTTTTGAATTCCTTGTCGTCATATTTGCAAACAACATCTTGTATATAATTTTTTATACACACACGTTTTCTTTTTT